AAGCTGAATTGATGTCCTATTGATCATATAATGCGAAGGAGCTTAGGATTGAACCCACGGTCTTCTGCTCAGTTAGCAAAAACGTTTGCCACTAGGAAAACGAACTCCTTTATAATCATCGAGATGCTGTTATCACAGACAAACAGACATAACACTCGCAAGTTGTTCATCGAACCATCAGCATTTAACGGACAATTTAAAAGTATCGTAGTTGGTAGCCCGTCAACGGTACTCGGCTCTAGAGAAGGAAGTCAAGCGCTCTTGCAGACGGGACAAGCGAGCGTGGGTGAACTCCCTGGCCGACGAAGGGGAGAAAGCCGAGGAGAAAGCCGCAAACACTGGTGATATACGCCTCCTCTACGATATCTCACGACTCCTGAGTGGAGCAAGGATGAACCCGAGGATGCCAGTGAAGGACACGACTGGACAATTGCTTACCGACCCCACTGACCACTTGAAGCGCTGGTTTGAGCACTTCGAACAACTTCTTCAAGTTTCGACGGCCAACCAGCCATCAACATCTCGGCATGATCCGCCTAGGGTGCAGCGCATAACTCGCGTCAATTCCGAGGCCCCATCACTGCAGGAGATTGAAGCAGCTATCCGAAGCATGAAATCCAACAAGGCTCCAGGGGTCGATCGCATATCAGCGGAGATGCTCAGAGCTGACCCCATGCTATCTGCACAAATGTTGCATCAACTATTCTGTAATATCTGGAACACCGCGACTTTTCCGGCCGACTGGATGCAGGGCATCTTGGTGAAGGTCCCAAAGAAGGGGGATCTGACTGTGTGCGACAATTGGCGAGGCATCATGTTACTGTGTATTGTTCTCAAAGTTCTGTGCAAAGTTATCCTGAATCGGATACAGGAGAAGATCGACGTGACTCTCCGACGGCAGCAGGCAGGATTCCGTGCCGGAAGATCTTGTGTGGACCATATTGTCACGCTCCGCGTCATCCTGGAGAAGGTCAATGAATTCCAAGAGTCCCTTTATTTGGTATTCATTGACTACGAAAAAGCTTTCGTCCGTCTCAATCACGAGAATCTGTGGGGCGCCCTGAGACGCAAGGGAGTCCCGGATAAAATCGTCAACCTCATCGAGCAGAGTTCTGCATAACGGAGCCTTGTCCGACCCTATCCGGATAGTCACTGCTCACTGGTGTGAGACAAGGATGTATACTATCACCACTACTGTTTCTCATCGTAATCGACGAGATCATGGTAGGTGCAACTGACCGTGTAGCGAACCGTGGTCTGCTTTGGCAGCCTATCACCATGGAGCATCTCAACGACTTTCATTTGGCTGATGATGTTGCTCTACTAGCAAAACGGCGCTCTGATGTGCAGAGTAAGCTCAATGACCTAGCCGAACATTCCTCTGCGGTGGGTCTCACCATCATCGTCAGCAAGACCAAATCGTTGGATATCAACACGTGCAACCCTTCCAACTATACGGTAGCGGGGCAAGCAGTCGAGAAGGTCGAAAGTTTCCAATATCTTGGCAGCCAAACAGCGTCGGACGGCGGGACTAAGAGCGACATAGGTGCACAAATCAAGAAGGCTAGGGCTGCCTTTGCGAGTTTACGAAACGTATGGAGATCCAACCAGATAAGTCAACACAACCAAAATTCGAATTTTCAACTCGAACGTGAAATCTGTGTTGTTATACGCCAGCGAGACGTGGTGTGTATCAGCGGAGAGCACTCAAAAGCTGCAGGTCTTCATCAACCGATGCCTGCGGTATATAATTCGTGCCTGGTGGCCTCACAACTGGATCTCGAATGCCGAGCTCCATCGTCGATGTCATTAGAAGCCGATAGCAACAGAAATTCGAGAGCGAAAGTGGAGGTGGGTCGGCCACACACTTCGACGGGGAGGAAACGAAATCTGCAAACAAGCGCTGGATTGGAATCTGGCAGGACATCGCAGCAGAGGCAGACCCAGGGGCTCATGGCGGCGAAGCCTCAATAAGGAAATTAAGCAAGTCGATAGGAATCTGACCAAGGCAAAAGCGAGGAGCCGCCCAGGATGGAAGTCTTTCACGTTGGCCCTTTGCACCACTGGTGGTGCACAGGACCCTTAAGTAAGTAAGTAAGTAGTTGGTAGTACCGCACATTGTGGCGCGCATAGCAAATTTCCTTGCGTTTGACGTTTACATACTACCGCCATGTTTTACAGTGATAAATATTCGATGTGTTATGTCTGTTTGTCTGTGCTGTTATTATCATTTAGTCACATTAACAAATAAAACCGATTGAAGAATCTTGAATGTGGATGGGCCTGAGATTAAACTCATGATGTTTTGCTCAGAATGCAGAACCGGTCGCTCTAAGGCTTCCGAGCCCCTCATATCACATCAAACCGTTACTCGAGTTGTTGAAACCATTCAAACCTGGCGATGACGACAAGTTTCGAAAAAAAAAGGATAAACAAGCAATTTGAAAGGACCTGGGACCGCGTTTTCCACTCAGTAAGCAAGCCACTGGAACCGACGATCCTTCAAATCCGAAAACTAAAAGCTACGAATAAGCACTTAGGCCTTCATTGAGTTCCACCTTCACGCGACGTTCAATGTTTCGATTTGCTCCCCACGCATTGTTCAGGCTATCACAATAAGTTATGACCAACGTGACGATTGTTTAAGCCCTGATTAAACAAGTTATTAAAATTAAATTACGTTCCCAAAAGCAGCATCACTTTTCTTATGTTCCAACCAAAACTGCAAAACAGATCACGCGCGATCGAGGCTATCCCGGCAGGAAACAAACGGATTGTTTATAACTGGAACAAACTCCCCAAATACAATACTAATGGCAACGAATTTTTGAAAAATTTCGAAAAGGAATAAAAGGCAAAAATAATATACACAACCACATACAAACACATAAGAAGGGAACATTGCGAAACCCACCACCACAAAACATTAATCGAACTCTTTGAATCTCAACACATTATATACAGTGAAACCATCTACAAGCATTAAATTTATGAAACAACTCTTCCCTTTCTTGCCGGACACGTACATAGCATCTTATAAAATACGATTAGGCACAAGTAGATTTGATACGCAGTCACTTTTAACTGTCCTGTTAATATTAACAAGGCATAAAAAGTAGCAATGACTAAAATGTGTTCCTTTGATTACCGAAAAATCCTGTTCCCCTAATTTGGAGTTGTCATGACTGGAGTTTGGAGGCAGATCTTGCACCAGTAGTTTACAACGAAAAGGTGATCTACCAGCGTTACTGGTTTCCGATAAATAGACTTTTTTTTTTTAATTGGCTACTCCAAATGTTTGTTCCATCTTGAAATTTTTTTTTTAATTTCCTTAGATAGTGTACTGAAGAAATTGTTTTAATATGAGACACTCTAGCAACCATACCAAATCTGGCCGCAGAGACACGCAACAAGAACTTTGTAGAAGTGGAATTGAAGACAATTTGACGAAGAGAATCGAGAAAGGATGTGCCTTTGATTTACATACTCAATTGTTTAATACCTTCTTAGACTACCATTCAAAAACCAATTATCAGTGTTTAAATTCACCTGAACACGGGAACAAATCCAATCTCCGATATAAGAAAAACGACTCATTATTTCATGAACATAGCGTATTTTCATGTTATGAAAATATACCATGAATAATATTCATGCGTAACGCACCCAAGGTTAACGAACTAAATTCATGAATTTAACTTTTAGCTTTTAAAGCAAAAATGTAAAATAAATAAAACAGACATTTTTTGCGTTTTGGCCTGGATATGCTTCATTCTGACATTCTGAAGAGCTTTCTTGAAGACAGCAACTTCCTAGTTGGCCAGGATCTCAAAATATAGCACAAACAGAAAGTTCGCATGAACACTAACTCCGCGTAGTGAAAGAGTTAAAATTTAATATGTTCTCCTGAACAACTTTGCCGAAAGCAACAGCTTGCCAGATAGTCAGGATATCAAGGTATAACTTATACAGTAGCTTCACATGCACGCTAGCGCCGCTTAGTGAGTGAGTTTTGAGTTGTGTTGTGCTCTGGATGGATTTAGTCACCTGATCAATTTTCCCGAAGAGAGTAACTTTCTAGGTGGTTAGGATTTCGTGTTATAGCTCAAGAAATTCAAATGCAAACTAGTGACACGTAGTGAGAGAATTATTACTTGTCTGTTCGGTCTGGTGCGGAAGGTTTTGAGCATCTGAACTACTATGTCTAAAATATAAACTTCCTGGATCTTAGGATATACCACATCCTGGATATTCAATGTACGCTAGCCCCATGTAGGGAGTGAATTCTGAACTTATCTGTCTACCATCCGGAAAGTTTTGGTCATTTTAACAACTAGGCTGAAAACAGAAATTTCATAGATTCCACAATGCACCAGTCTAACACATACATGTACGAAAAATGATTATCGTTAAAAGCATTTTTTTTTTCCAACACCATATGAAGCATCAACTTGAGTTTGGTTTTTTTTTTCAAGAGGCCACCTCAGACCACCAACACCATCGCCGCCAGCAGTTTACAAACAACAACCGTCACTATCGCCAAACCGACCCCGAAAACGTCGTATGTGTGTGTACTCAAACAAACGCAAAACCTCAAACTCTGCGTCCCGCAGCAGACCCAAACCACCCAAACCCAACTATTGTTAGAAGATACTCGCGATGCTGCATTGATCGGCCAGCTACCTGTATATCTGTCGATTGGCGACGTCGTCGTCGTCGTCGCCGTGAATGAACCACAACAACAAAAAAACAACACTCAATCCATCAATCTATTGCCGGCTCGCGCTCGTGCACCCGCTACTAACCGCACCGCTCTTTATTTGGCTATAGAACCCATGCCACCGATCGCAGCACATTTTCAGTTGCTCTCTGCCTACCGGCGACTAACCACGCTTTTCTGATCGATCACCGGCGTGCGACGACGTATTATTCGTGTGAATTTTTCGAACGATCGTGATCAGTGGGGACGAGGAAAATTTATCAAAGTGTGAAAAGGAGAAGATATCGGGAAAATCGCCCGAGTGCAAACGGCAATGTTCGATCCATTAGTAAATATTACGATTGGGGTGGTCGATGGCATCAACTCCAGCTCGTTTTTCCAGAGAAAATGGGATGCGTTCCTCGATGTTGTTGGTAAATATGGCTGTTATCATATTGAGGGCATAGAAAATCAAACAAGTGCCTAATGATTCGTTCAAACAGTGAAAGGTGAAAAGTGTGAAAAGTATTATGCATTGGACATTCCAATACAAGCAACAAATTCAAATAATTAGTTAGTAGGTGAAGTGATGGATAGCAAATTAGCACGGGCGGCCAAGCTTTGAAAGCGATCTTGGAAATCGGAAATTAAAGTGAGATTCATTTTCGGCATCCAATTGAGCGTCACTCGCGTAAGGTAGGAGGAAAGCTATCCAGAGCGTGTGGGCTTTGTGCCACCCAGCCATGGAGTCACCAGATCATATAACCCTCGCTTGACACAGTTTCCTGCTGTACAGGTTTATTTGTGCATATAGAATCAAACAACATACATAAATTGTACCACCTGAACGGAACGGCCCAACTTTCCAAAATTGTCACTCTGCACATTTCCGCTACCTATGAACAAACACAAAATTAAAGAGTAGTTCCACGCCAAATGAAGAATTGAGCAGAAGGTGCAAATTTGACATTTCAAAATTGTAAGAAAAATCGTAAAACATAAACTTATGAAACAAATTGTAACTTTCAAAATTTGCAAATTGTAACTTTCAAATTTGCTCTAAAAACTCTAAACTACAACTCTGATTCCGATTCGATGTTTCATTTTTGCAGTATAATTAATTGAAAAACATCGTAAACGTCATTTTCAATATAAAATAGCCTAATGTGAATGTTTGCCATAAAAAAATAATTATGCAAAATTTCATCCAAATCGGAGAAGGTTGAGTCTAAAATTCATTTTGAATTTTGCCGTTTGGCCTGGAACTGCCCTATACCTGAACTGGCAATGAACTTAGACTGGCCATGTGCATTTTTGTCAACTACCCGTTTCACCCGTCCTCTGTACACTGAACCAATATGACATATTTCCCTAATGCGGTAGTCTTACAATTTTGCGCTATAAGAAAATCCAATGAAATGCTATGATTGAAAATGTTTAAAAAATGTTTGAATATTTGCTGGTAAGCTGATAACTTTTATATGATCGATAAATGAAAATCGGTCAAATTATAAGAACTAACGGAAATGGCTTTGAACCCCATAAGCATAAGCATTACTTTTCACTACAATATCATATACGTGTCATAAATCAACCTAGTTAATGTTTATATGAAAATCACAACAAAATTTGTTTCTTGTCGAAACATAAACATCAGGCAGTTGGGGCTTTCACAGTTGTGTCTTTTTTTTTTAAGTTTATTTGGGATTTGATCGAGGACTGTTGAGGCTTTCAGTGTCTTCGCTCGATTCGACTGGGCCACGACTGACTTCGAGATTGAGCTCGTTCAATTAACATGAATTAGTTATTCGTCGTGAAATGTAGTGCAATGTTATGCTCATTTTGCTAGAGTAAAGAATAAATAGCACTGACAAATTTATGTTACGCTTCGGTGGTGTCGTGTGTTCAAATATTTCTTAATGCCCCTGTGTGCAATAAAGCAACATCTACATTATAGGAATTCATGGAACTGGTTCTTGCAGTTCCAGTACTACTGGAATATGGATAAGCCCTTCTTTACGGCTTACAATTAGAATCTTAGCAAAGTAAATATTGCTGTAGAAACTTTTTTTTTTCAAAATAAATCCGGAACCCCTTATTCTATGGGACAGTAAAAAATAAAAATTATTCAATTCACTATTGATGTTGTTAGCAATATTAAGTTTGACTAACCATTTTACTTTTAATTGTGTACGATAAAATCGCTGAAAATTATTTCAATAATTTATGCAGGACAATCATATAAGATATATTTTATTTGGAGCAATATTCATCCGTAAAACCATGCAAAAACAAATATTTGCTGGGTGGCAAATTTAAATGACTAACTAATGATAGAGATAAATCTGTTTACAACCTGCAAACCTAAAAATTGTCGAAAGCTATTCCAATAAAATATACATGATGACTATTTAATATATAGCTTATTGCAAGCAGTAAACAATTATTTGCCAATGGGTTTTCCTATAGTCAAAATTTAAATGACTGTCCTATAGTTTCTAGATGTCTGTTTTCACCCTGGCAAGACTAGTACTCACTGAAGCCGCCACCGATGTTGTTGTGTTAGTGTTGACAACACGTGTTTAAGGTTCAATTTACTTTGATGCTTTTTGGAAAATTTCAAAAGCAGTTTTTTCCGACGCATTATTTCAGATTGCAGAAAGCTCACACTATTCGATTCCTCCGAGTGCAATCTAAAATAATGCGTCGAAAAAAAACTGCTTTTTAATTTTTAAAAAATGCATCATAGTAAATTGAACCTTAAGCTACATTCATGTGTGCCGCATGGTCATATCGCGTTAAAAGTGTTTACCTGTGTAGTAATGCAACTATCACATCCAATTAAAATGCACTTAATTTTTAGGCAACGATAATTCGTGTTCAACACAGTAAACAGCGCCTATGGCACAACAAAGATTTAAAAAAATCCTTCCCGCCACTCGCGAAAAACTTTCCTAACAACTTATCACGCATAAACAGAGCTTGCTTGCGAATATTTGCAGCAGCTGTCAAATGTTGACGTAAAATCGAACCAGAGAACCAGGATTTTTCGGCTTCACACAAAGTATATGGGAATGACATTCGTGTCATAGATGTTGTTTTCACCAATGACTTATCAAGAAACGTCAAAAATCGTTAAAACCCACTCCAATAAAATATACAAGATCTTCATATAAGATATATCTTTTGAACATTATTTATTACGAACACAGATATGTTTTACTGGATTTTCTTATCGTTCAAACTTATATATATGTTTCCACACATGGCATATCAACAGTTCTTCACTATAACATATATCCGCCAATATTCATCTATATCTTACCCATGGCAAAGGAATGCAAAGTAAAGGAATGTCATGTACCTAAGTATGTGAAACTACGATAGTAATCACAGTCGCAGTTTTTAACTAATAATGGAATCTATCAATCAGCACATAGAATGAATAAACCTACTGACATTACTATGCTATAAGATGGATCCAATAAACCGAACGTGCCGGTTTGTTTCAGTGTAGAAGAGAACACTTTCTACTTAGCCCTGTCTAGCGAACAAACGCCTCTCGACCAAACAAGTGGACTGCAACTTACACGTACGAAACTTGAATGCCCGCTCGCCGGTTGCTGGTAGGTACCTCTTATTTCATTATGTGCACATTCCTCCACTATCCCAAAAAGATAGAACGTTTAGCATTAAATCACGCATGCAACGTGTTATCAGGTAGAATTTGATTTGATTGATGGCGCATAGAAAGATGCTTAATGTTGATTTGGGAAATACATTCCTCATGAAAAGCACATTAACCTTAAGTGAAACTTGTTCCCACTAGGAAGATAATTTGTGATTTGGCACCACTTCACAATTATTCCGATGAATTATCAGTTGTGTGGAGAAATTTTAAAATTGTATTAAATCTCATTGAAGTAATCCACGGCCAATATGACTAATTCAAAATTGAGCCGGATTCGACTTAAAATTTAAAATTGGGTTACTCAGTGGATGAGTGTAACTGTGAATATCAAGAAAATCATCGGAAATTATACAGCTGGTTACTCACTGACTTTTCATATGCTAATGTTGGTTTGCGTGGGCGTACTTTGGTTGGATTGTGAAGGGCCTTACAACTTTTGTTTAAAAATCTCTTGTGCCGTTTTTGAGTGTTGCACCTGAAATTTTTTATTTACAAGATACTCACTTATGACTCACTCACTCACTCACTCACTACTTAGTCACAGGTGTTATGTGCCAAACACATACTTAGCATCCTCTTATTGTAACTTACCGGTAAAACCAGTGATCATAACATCTTTTAATTCCATTGTTTTGAAAATCATCTTTTTAATGCAAAATGAGCATTTCCGACCTAGCCCAATTTGATCGATTCAATGACAACCAGCTGATTCAGAATGTTTCAAACTGGTTTTCGCTTGATTTATAAGGCATGCTGCGAGCCACCAACCAGCTAACCGCTGAGATCCGATGGGCAGATCATAAGATTCTTCTAAAATCAACACTAATCGTTCTCGGGAAGCATCAAGGTAGCATGGACACACACGCATGGAAAGATTGGACATATTAAACCTCTGTTGAAAACACATTTTGTGCATGCCCTTCTTGACATTTTTGTATCGCTTTAACTTGAAAATATAAAAAAATCACTTTCGCCAAAAGTCAGCTACCGAACACCAACGATATTATCATCAAAAAAACACCCATCTGAATTCGTTACGGCATTCATAAGAATAAGAGAAAAACTATTAGGCATACAAATGTAAACAAACCAGCTGCTGCACGTAAAAACTAAGAATGAAACTTGTTTTTATTATTCATTCAAAGCGTACACCACAAATTTTATTAGACCCAACGTACAACTTTTTATAAAAGGTATTCGATGACTGCAATGAAGCACCGCATATACAGGTTTGGTAATGTAGTCATCAGAATGAAATAAAAGAATAGCTTATTTTATGAATGAAGTTGATTTTCACCAATACATTGGGCATATGAAATCATATTGCAATGGTTTTGAACGAAAATAATGATTCAAGGAAAGCTTGCTTTTGCGCTACAGATTGTTGGAGGGTGTCGAACGATGAAAGCATGGGGTAAACAATAGCTTGCATTTTCTGCAGCATGACTCACTACATTCTAGAGCATCTTTTAGATACCATACTTTACCAATCAGGCAGGCCTTGTTGTCCTCTGCTGTCCGAAGAAGTCGTCTCGGTCCATGTTCACACTTCGCCAGCCTCGTAGTCAGCGAAGGGTCCGCAGGTCGCCTTCTACTTGGTCGATCCACCTTGCCCGCTGTGCGCCTCTTCTTCTTGTTCCTGTTGGGTTGCGGCATTCATACGACGTGCCCAGCCCACCGTAGTCGCCCAATTGTTGCATTGAGATGGACAGAAGATGGTGCAATTCGTGGTTCATTCGCCTC